ATCGTATAGTTACTAAGTTAACTAAGTTAACCTCACTAAGTTAACCGAACAATTCGGCAATATTATCAATGTGGGTACATATCTTTTTAATTTCCTGTCACCAATGTTAATCAACTAGAGAAGGGATATCAGGTCAGAAAGTGCATGAACTTGCATTGGAGAAAAGGATTCCCAGGTGCAACACGGTGGAATTTCAAGTTGCATGAACACTCAAATTCATGCTCTGCTGTATTATCTTCCAGACATTTTTTCTTACACCCAAATGTGCTGCAAGTAACAGTTGTCTATAGTGTGTCCTGTATCATTTGTTGTTAGGTGTGCCTTCAATTTTTTTTTCATTTTTATTGATGTATTGCTTTGGATCATCTTGGACTTTTTTCAGCATTGAAGGAGCGTAATGCAACGGGGGGGGGGGGGGGGGGGGGCAGTGGTTTGTATTAGAAGCAGTGAACGACACCTGCTGTGGCTAGGGCAGAGAGAAGTTTAGGGGCATTATATGTTGAACTATCCCTTTTTTTCTTCGGCATGTATTATTGGCTATGCTCCCAAGAGAATATTCAGTGTATGATAGAATGTTATGACAAGGGTAGTTGTCTAAAATCATGACAAAAACTTTTCATAAACTCTGAGCAATGCCGGAAAGGCAAATATTGGGACTTTTGCACTACTAGCATAGAATGCTTGAGATTGAATATTGTTAAGAGTTGTAGGTTGTATGGTGAGCATACGTGGCCTTCTCCTGCCGACCACCTGACAGCGAAAGCTTTGTTTGGGACCTTTTTACCGTAATTTGTAGCTTTGCATCTGGTAATGCTGTAACTGAATTGGGAATACACCAAAGCATGGTATAATTAATGCCGGCATCGTTAATTCAGAACAATTTTACATCAGTTCGAAACGCCCGCTTAAATACTTTTAAAAACTAGCGCCCCACAGTGGGGTAGCACCTGAGATTATGTGCACTCAAGCTTGTGACGCTGCATGTGCAGTTTTCAAATAGGGGGATCCGAGGATGGTGAAGAATGAAACAATCTGGGTGCTTGGAGCATGTCCCCTTTAGAAAAAAGAATTTCTGGCGTAGGCAGCCGAATCCACCTTGGGAGCAGCCTGACAATAGAGCGAGGGGGGACGAACGATAGTGCTTGACGGCGCGCATACTGGAGAGCCGTCAAGCTTCTCTTCCTTCATGACGAGACAAGCGCAAAAAAATACACACACTCAGAGAGGACACAGACAAGCGCTCTCTTCCTTACTTCATATTTTGCATGACTCTTTTGTAGTTATATGTAGAAACTGAAGCTAAATATTAAAAAAAGCAAACCAGTACAACTGTACTAGTGAAACTAAGAAAATTTACCATCCACAGCTGTGATTCGAACCTGGGTCTTTTGAGTGGGAAGCGAGCATTCTATCCCTCGAGCACTTCAACGGAGCCGCACGCAGCACTTAAAACGACGACACATTGGAGAATACCGATCGCAGCACTACAAGCGGATTGACCCTGTTTGGGCTTCACTTTTAATGCATTGGGGCTGCGGCCATTTTGAGCAGTCTCCTGTTTTAGTACACTCTACCTGAACCATACGCTGAATCCATGTCCTCTCAAGTTGGCTTGGCTAAAGGCTTGGCTTGGCTGCAGCCGCCAATGTGGCCAGCGACTATTTAAAATTAGCGAGTGACGGGGTCAAGTCTGTCATCCCGTGTAAACACTGCAAAAGTGCAGTATATGCACAGAGTTCTGAAGGAAAATGCCACTAGTTTCATCCACTGTAGCCATAGTTTATTGTATCGCGGTTTGTTAAAAGCAAACTTTGCTTCATTAATTTAATACGAAATTGCATCAGAAAGTTTATTGTATGCTGGTCCGTTACAATGAATGGACTCTAGTTAATAGGTGGTGTTAAGGTGTTAACTAAGAAGGGCATTCATACAAGTTGCATTTTTGCCAGTAAACTGGTTCACAGCAACAGTTATCTTTGCGGGTTTTCTTGAAAAATTTTATGCACAGAGTTTGCATGTGCAGAAGCAGGCACAAAATTTTGAAAGCGAGATAATAAGCGAGATAGATTCATCTAGTGACATAGACAATACCTACGAAATGTCAAGGGTGAATATAGCATAAAACATGTTTGAAATCAATTTTAAAGTGCATACTGTGCGACTGAGCGAAATGCAGAGCCCCTTCGTGACGCTGACGTCAATGCAGTGAGAGTGTAAACAAAGCTACATCATGAGTTTGTGTAGGCAGTTCGCATGCACAGGCGAACGCTACCTGCAATCGCTACCTGCGATTTCTTCCTCCATGCCTGCGGCTTTTAGTGTGCTGCTTGTCAGTGCGGCACCCTCTGATGCATGCTCCCTCGCTCGCCGCCACATCAGTTTTTGGAGGTTACAAGATCAGCTGTGTTTATCGTGCACCCTGAACTGCTCGTGTTCAGCTTGATGCTCTCTGAAACCGAAACTGCGATGGGGCACTTCAAAAACATCTCTAAACTAAAACAGTCATGCACTCATGCAAACGAGGTGTTCAGTGGTGATAAGTGGGTCAGACATAAGCTATTAATTGCAATGGAAAAACACAAGGTTCCAAACGTTGGTAGTGTCAGTGCTCCTTTAACCTATTATTATAATTGTTGAAATGTAATATACTAGTGAGAGAGCATAGGCTCAACTTGCATGGTGATTTTTGGTTCGAGTGACAATTTTCCTCTCTGTTTTTGGTTTTTGGAGTAGTGGAAATTGTCTACTCCATTTTACGATGGTCTGATGAGCCGGGGCATGGTCATAGTACACAGCAACCATCAGCATGGCATGAGTCTCCTTTCATTTGTCTCTACATACACAGTCGAATCCACTTATAACGATACTGGTTTTAATGATATATCTTTTATAACAATGAGAAGCTGCTGCACAGTCGGCTTTTGTGTATTTTCTACGGTGAAATAACCCGCTTACAGTGACGCTCTCATGCTTCATTATCGGTTATTACAATAAGTTGTGGCTGTTTGGTGTCCATGCAAAAAGGTGACAGAATGCCAAATTCTTTAAAAAAAAAAGAAAAGAAAGAAAACTAGACATTCAAACTGCTAAAGCACCACACTAAATCCCAACGTATTCCAGCGCCACTTAGTTAAGATTTCTAGTTTGCTTTGCCGCATAGTGCTAAAGCATTGAGGCAAAGCTTGCTTTTGAAGTTAGCTACATCGTGGAGAGAGAGAGAGGGGGATCAAACTTTATTTGGCTCTGGAAGAGGTGGTGGCTTCTGTTAAAACATGAAATTTGAGCAGAGTTCAGACTGAAGAGTTTCAGCGTCCAAAACTCTGGAAATTGGCTCTATGGGGCTTGTGGGAGTCCCCAGAAAGGTTCTGAATTTTTAAACATGTTTGAAAAATTGGCAGATTTGTACATCCTTGTCTCTGATGTATGTTGGCATATCTCATCCGTTGTTAGTTTTTTACCAACAACCTGCCATCCCCTATTGTTTTTTTTTTCTGCGTGGAACCCATTTATAGCAATGCCATGGCTGATTAGTACTGATGTCATGGTTATAATTTAAAATGTTTCATTTCGTCATGTAATAGCAAATGGTTAAAGTGGCATTGTGTTCACCCAATGTCATTCATTATATATGATGTTAGATTTGTCATGCGACGGGGGTATTACAATTCTTGCGAATTGACGCCCCGGTTCCGGCTTAGTCCTGTGTATTTTTATGGGGGAAAACTCCTGATAATTCGAACAATTCACTATCCACAACGGTTAATTCAAATCTGCATCTTTAATTTTTCTGCCCCCTGCCCTTTTGGTGGGGATTTCGCCATGTAGTAGCAGATGGGTAAAGTTACATTGTGTTCACCAAATGTCATTCATTATATATGATGTTAGATTTGCCATGCGACAGGGGGGTATTACAATTCTTTAGAATCGACGCCCTGGTTCCGGCTTCGCCCTGTGTATTTCTATGGGGGAAAGCTCCTGATAATTCGAACAATTCAGTATCCACGATGGTTAATTCAAATCTGCATTTTTAATTTTTCTGTGCTGCCCCCTGCCGTTTTGGGGGGGCTTTGGTGGGGGCTGGCAAAGCCTCCCAAGATGAGGAGACGTTGCACCACTTTTCCCGCTAGGGGAAGGGCACATGCACCGGGGCATCATGAAAGAAGACTGAGTGGGAGCCCCTGGCTTCTTGCAGAAGTTAGCCACACAGTGATTACAATGTGTTGAACCAAACCAAACCAAATTTACTAGAGACTCAGAACTACAAAAGAGCAGCATTTCACTGCAGATAAGAATTCACACGCTGTGTGGAAGCTCTTGGGCAAGCTGCAAACTATTTTCGTGGAGTCGAGAGTGAAGAAACACCAGCAAATGCAAATGGTTGGTTACTTTTAATTTTGATTGCATCGACTCAGTAATGTAAACAAACATCATTTGGTTTACAGTCATTATATTTCACAATATACTCGCTGCTCAGATCAGGGCTTGTTTCTGGTGCATCACAGCCTGATCAATGAATTCTTTGATGTTGGAGCTCCATGAAAATAATTAACAAAATCTCCTGCCTCAAGCATGTAGCAGCACCTAGTTTACACATGAGTCCAGAGGGGGAACTTTCATCCTAGCACCCACCCGCTAGTTTGAAATCCACTTAATTTGAACAGTTTTATAGTCTCCTTTAGTTCCCTTTGATTTCAAATTAAGGAGGTCTTGTGTTTCCACAAGGAGAACTTTTGAACACCACCCAACTCGCGAAAATGAAGTCCAGCGAGGCTAAACATTTCGAGCATATGTGATTGTGTTTTTAGCACCGTTAAGCTGTTCGTAGTAGACTTCACAAATGTTGCTATGAAGTGAAGTACTACGCGAGATGCTACCGATGATAACGCTTTTACAGGATTTTAAAAGTCCTTCAGTCTTTGTCCCTGATACGCATGATGACTATTGTTTCTGGTAGTACTATTATTAGTTTTTAAAACTGCTTTTTTTTTTATGCTCTGCAGCTTGTCCTGGATGACATAAGCCTGATGCACCTAGAGTTTCTTCGGTCTGTGCTTGCAAGCTACATAGAGTCTTACTGGGTGGTTGCCTGTTCTCTTTTCAAGCTGGTGGGCACTCCGATGGAAGGTATGTCAATATTTTATCCAGAGCATGTATTTATAAATTGCACGAATAAAACTTCTGGAATACTTGTGTATATTTTAAAGTTTAAAAATTAATTTTCATGTGCAAGCTGAAGTGTATAGAGTAAGTTCTGGCAAATTCTGTTTTCAGCATGTCTTGATCACCACAAAAGTTCAATTAACTGCTTGCATTTACACTTTTAATACCTCCCCACCAATTGCTTCTTTCTTCAGCCCTAGAATAGAATTTAAAAGGAGGGGGAAAATTTGCTCTGGAGCTCTCTGTCAGCATGCTAAGGTCTGGCCCGTAGCCTGATTCTAGCATTGGAATTTCGAAGGGGCCCTGGCCCCCTTTAAAATTCCTTTCAACAAGTGCCCCCCCCCCCAAAAAAAAAAATTCCCGGCTATGGGCTTGACCAACATGGTTGTGGAAATGGCCACAAAGAGCATTGCACAATAACAACCACCATAGTTGGGCTGGTGACACTTTTAAAGGGTCCCTAAACCACCAGAGATAGAAATTCAGTTGTGATGGAGAAGTTGTGCATGAGTGTACAACCATGGAGCCGTGAGAATTTTTTGCAACAGTTCCGTAATAGTAGCAGGTTTAGACACGTGTGATTATCGAAACACACGGCAATCACCCTTTCGCTTCCTCTGCTACCCTGTGTTGGTATCCTCTCCCAAAGCCGCTTTGCTCTCTCGCCGAGTGCCCCTCCCGATCTCCCGCGGCATACATCATTGCTGAGGCGTTGCTTGAAACACAGTCTACCTCCGGTTGTCACAGCTCTGTCCCACTGTCTACTCTATTAACTGTGTGCTTGTTCACTAACCGCTGCTGCCGTGCTGGCCTGTGCTTATACGAATCGTGCCGGTATGAACCCTGTGTTGCTTACGAAGAAAGAAGCAACAGTGCTGGCACAGGACAGAGACGAGAAGACACTTGCTTTTTGTGTTACTTACTGGCCGCAGAGCTGATTCGCCAGCTTGTGCCACGTGCGTGGGCAACACGACGAACAACAAGCAGTGTGGAGAGCTGCTTGCAGACAAACCGTAAGTCGTCTGCTCTTGCTCAGCCAATCACAGCATATTTGTGCTGCGCGCCAAAGATTCAACTTCTCGACGCCACGCGGAGGCCCAAAAGACCCAGAGAGGAGGACACATTGTATCTTGGAATTTGTGTGCGCCGACGGCTGAAAGCACTGTCTCGTGTAAAATCGTTGATCGCGACGGGGTTCTGCACATGATTGCGTGTTTACTTGAAATGTTTCAAAAAATATTGGAGGTGGCTTAGGGGTCTTTTTAAGGGATGGAAAGGGCCACCTGACAGCTATTAAAAGCGGACATCAATCATTAAAGTTTAAAAATCTCAAATTTCAGGCCGGTAGCCCTGATCACATTTGTGAACAAGGTTCCTGTGTGTGAGCCGAAATGTGTGGGATTTAATGAACTTTCATGGTCACTGTCTGTCTGTAATGGTTATGCATGTTCGCAACCATATGGGTTACCATTCATCTCTTGGCTTCATGAAGGGGCTGCCATTTATCCTAAAGCAAACAGTAAGGTGAACAGGAAGCCTCGTTGCCATTTCCACTCCTAGCAAGTTGACATATTTGCTTTCAGAACGAATACAAAGATGTACAAGGTATGTGGGCCCACATTCACTCATAAAAGGGAATCGCCTAGAGGCTCTGCAAAGGATAAGTGAACATTCAAGAAATTGAGCTGTTCGCGCAGTCGAAGTGTCTTAGTTTTGTACGAGTAAGAGGTGGTTTGGTTCAAGCTCTGAACCTCTCTCATGGCTTGTGACAATTTCCTGGGGAATTCGTGCCGAGGCTGTCCTTGTGTTTGCACACTGGTCTCTTAAATGAGCTGCATTTTGCTATATTGTTGCATGAGGACTTCTTTTAATTTGCAGAGAGGATATTCTTCCAAGAAATCCAGAAGGTTGCTCAAGACAAATTGCAAGAAGGAACACTCTATTATGGTGAGAGGAGAATATGGTTGTTGCGAAAATATATGGATTTGTGCTCACTCATTTGTTGCTTCAGTTTATGTGTGCATGTGCTCACCGGTGGGTGTAGTAGCACTATTGGATATTGCTAGAGAAAAACAATTTACTGCATGCATATTGTACATGAATCTAGTAGCACATTATCCTAGTTATCTTCATTTTTGCAATTATAACGAGTCTGAATCCACTTTTATTAGTTTCATTGGCATGCTAACAGATTTGTCTTTGCCATGAGAAAATACCGTGTAAACCGGACTATAGGTCAAGTGGGACTATAGGTCGACCCCCCAAGTTCAGGTTACCGGAAAAAAAAAAGAAAAAAAAGAAAAACCCAAAATTGCCGAACGACATTTATTTGTGAATCGGTGCACCGCACCCGATCGTCGGAGCTCCCCTCAACCACCATCGCAACTGTTCCTATTTGTCAGACGAAGCACCGCTGTCTTCTGAAGATGAGAGTTTGACCCGCAGGTCGCGGGTTTGTATCCCGGCTGCATTTCGGATGGAGGCGAAAATGTTGTAGGCCCGTGTGGTCAGATTTGGGTGCACGTTAAAGAACCCCAGATGGTCGAAATTTCTGGAGCCCTCCACTACGGTGTCTCTTATAATCATATGGTGGTTTTGGGACGTTAAACCCCACATATCAATGATGAGTTTGTCGCTGGCCGCGTCCCACAGTGCGTTGTTTTCCATGACATACAGCGAGTTGCTCATGGAACATTTCTCAAAAGCATTTTCCACCATGGAATCTGGCAAGTAACGTCAGGCGGAAAGCACCCAGTTACAAACATTCGCAAGCGGAGGCCTCTGTAGGCGGCCCATCGATGTCTTTGGGTTGTCGCCGGACATCCACTTTTGGTACTCCAGCTGCACTCAGTCCTTGAACAGCTTGTTTAGCACAACGTCAATCGGTTGAAGGGTGGACGTCATACCACCTAGTATCACCGCGAGGTCCATTTTTCTATCGCCCAGTGCGCGCTTCACAGCATCGGTTAAGTGACCACAAAACGCATCTAACACCAGCATGCTGCAAAGACGCAGCAGTGCACCTGGCTGACAGTTCCAGACTACTCGCATCCATATGAGCATCATTGCCTCGTCCATGTATCCCTTTTTGTTGATGTGAACGACAACACGGGGCGGGAACACTTCCTTTGGCATTGTCTTACATTTGAAAATAATGAAGGGTGGAAGCTTTCTACCATCTGCCATGCATGTCAGCATGATGGTGAAGCGCGAGTGCTCATTGCCAGTTGACAACAGCTTCATATCCTTGGTGCCACGCTGCATGATCATGGTCAATGAAGGCATGTCAAACCACACGGGGGTCTCATCGGCATTGTCAATCTGCCCCATCATGTAGTTGTTCTGCTCCCAAAGCCAGTTCACGAAGCCCTGAAAGTTTATAAGCTTGTCCTCGAACTCGTCTGTAAACTTCTGACAGATGGATGTGCGCCACTGGAAAGAAAATCTTTTGCGTCTTAGGAATAGACGCACCCAAGAGTTTGATGCACGAAACTCTTCTTTCGTGAGCCCAGCTTCTTGAGAGAGTTCCACAGCTTTCTTGCGAATGGTATCCACGGTCACTGGCAGCGAGCATGCATGAACTTAACACACAAAATTCCCTAGCGTATCCTCCAGCTGCGAATGAACTGCACCTCGCCCACAAAATGACATTTTCCGAGGATTGCACATCTACAGCTTCCCTTTCTGCACCCTCCAATTGCACAAGCTTTTTTCTCATACACCTAAGCGGCGTTGAGCAGCCATATTCCCATTTGCTTCTGCGAACTCAACGACCTCCAGTTTAAACGCAGCTGAGTACTGCCTTCTCGTACTGCTACTCATATTCAGTGAACGAAAAAAAGACCACTATAAGTGAAACGCAATGTCAAGCGGAGCGAGAATTTAGAACAGATTGGAGGCAAATCACGAACACAAAAAAAAAACAGGCTAGAGAGAAAAAAACTTGCTATTGGATTTGAATGCGAATATGGCCGTGTCCAGCTTCTCATGCAGATGCAACCCACATGTTGCCAGACAGCGGTGCACTGTCGGTGAGACACCATTATATAAGACGAGGGGCGACTTTAGCTCGTTTTTTTATTGAAAATGTCTCGACTTGTATTCCGGTTTATACGGTAGCTGATGCTTCAATTTTAGTATTTGTTTTGGTGGCTGAAACATAGGTGTCTTATAGCCAAGCCTAATGCATTTGTGTTTAAATGTTTTCAGTGACTTGGGCAGTTTTCCGGTGTCTAACAATAGAATGTGCCAACAATTTAGAATCAATCTAACAAAATTTTTTTTTTGCTAACTTTAAGTCAAGTATGTATACAATGCTTGTGACTGGGCAGAAGAATATGCTTTAAATGTCATGCAGCATGTAAGAGGTGAGTTGGTTTGGATGAAATGGCAATGGCATAATATGAATTAAATATGTGGTAAACAAATGCAGTGGTTTCACTCTTGCACCAACTGCGCCAAATCAGATTTACTGCGTCATCATGATATCAAGGGAAATTGCGCCAAACTGTGCCAAAAGTCGGATTTGGACACATTGCCCCGCCATGGTGGCCTAGTGGCTAAGTTACTCGGCTGCTGACCCGCATGTCGCGGGATGGAATTCCGGCTGCGGGGGCAGCATTTTCGGTGGAGGTGAAAATGCTGGAGGCCTGTGTACTCAGATTTGGGTGCACGTTTTATAAAGAACTCCAGGTGTTCGAAATTTTCTGAGCCCACCACTACGGCATGTCTAATAATATGCATACCTGCCAAGTTTCCGAGATTACTCGATAGACTCCCGAATTTTGAGCGTTTCTCCCGGTTGTACAGGTCATAGGAAAATCTCCCGGAAATCCAGTTTTGCCTCGAGCATCCAGTGCTTGCTCTGGCCACTTGAGTAAATTGTCTGGCCATGTAGTAAAAAGAATTACTTTTTTTTAGTGATGGTAGCAAGGTTAAACTCGGTTCAATGTATGTTTTCGAGAGGCGAAAATAGCACCAAAACATGCGGCCTGCCGAGTAGGAGCAGCGAAATCGTGCATGGCTGTGCAGTTCTTGTAGGTCACGCCCTTTAAGTAAAAAAAAAAAAAAGAAAACTTCATTGTACCAGAGGGAGGGCAGTGACCCCGTGGTACAGTTGATGCTTTTGCTGGCAGGAGATGATGATGAAAAAGGAGATGACGAGCGCATTTGCAAACTCTTTGTGGCTGTTTTGTTGCAGCCAGCAGAGGGTGTGCTGCTGTTAACCTTTGGCGTGAGGGGGGGGGGGGGGCACAGTCAAGCCCTCTACATTGACATAACAGGGGGTGGCAGAGGGACTCTGGCAGACAAAGAGGGGCAGACCAAGAGGGGCAGGGGGGGGGGGGTGATTCAGGGGGAGAGGGGGTTGCGATGTACGCCACTCTCTCCTACCTGTACCCCCAAAACGCTTATGCCCATACCTCACCACACACTTTCTGTACCTTTCCTTTATGCAACCTCTTTCCCCCCTTCCTCAAGGAGCTAAACTGAAAACTGCTTCCGCAAGGGTTCCCTGAACCTAAAGGCAGAGCTTTTTTAAGCCGCCTGCAGATTAACCAGCCGCTTCTTCCTATTGCAAGTCAGAATTAAAAAAAATTTTTTTTTCTCTTTCTATAATCCGACCGTTTTCTCCTCACTGTCTCTTTTATCTCCAACCCCCTTATTGAGGGCTCTTCTCCCATATCCTTACCTTTTTCCTCCAACATACTTGTTTTTTTTTTTCTATTTTTTTTACTCAACCGCAAGGGTTGCCGAAAAGAGTGCCTGACACTGCCTGTTTTCTGAGCGAGCTGGGGGAAGGAGAGTGGTTGGCAGGGCTGTACTATGGTCCCTTGCCCGACAAAATAACTCGTAATCAAGCGACGACAGGCCTCGCACGCGGAGCGAAGTTATCGCATGTGCCCTTCGTGTGACGGAGACCGCCGGGTCGTTTCATCTACTTCAGCTGCGATGGTTCCTAGCGCTAGGACGCTTTTACTCGCACGTAAAACAGACGGACGATGCGTAAGTGATATTATCGGTTTTGACTCTGTAAAGATTAGCAGCGACCGCAAAATTTCGCTGACAGTGTTCATATAATTGCTATCGCCAAAACGCCGCCCCCAGCTCCCCGCTGTCGACATAAGATAACCCTACTTAAGTAGGGTTGTCTTCAAATAAGATTTTACGTTTTTGGAGCTTATATGCAACAAAAATAACATTAAAAAGTTTTTAAAAGGTGTAAACGTAGTTAATAATTTATTATATTATTAGTTTCGAAATTAAAAAAGGTTGTTGGCGGACCTTTTGGTAGGGGACGCTACTTACGCATGGTTCTAAGGCGCGCTTTTTAAATGTTTGCGACTGTGCGTTAGTATGAGCAGTGGTATGACTTGGGATCCCACAGTCACTTGTGGGATCCCACCATCACTATCACCGACAAAGTGTTGCTGATAGTGACGTTTGACATCAGGATGAAACGGTTAGTGCTTGCTATAGGACGGAAAGGTGGGCTAGTTGGTAATTCATAATCGTTCAGCGAACTGGGAGCGCGGGAAGAACACAGATACGAAGCAAAGGGGAGGCACACAGCACGAGTTCTTAGTGAGCGCTCGGGCTGTGTGCGTCCTTTTTGCTGCATGTCTGTGTTCCTCCCGCGCTCCCAATTTGCTGAACAATTATGTTTCATGCTTTTTGTCGGTCATTATGTGATTAGCAAAAGGGAAAAAAAAAAGAAAGAAGCCCGTGTATTTCTAAAAGTCGTGTATTGGCGCTACAGGAAATATTTAGAAAGAAGCGTGAACTCAATTTCAGGAATTATTTTCACAACGTGGTTCAGCTGCATTGTGCAGGACACCACGTAGTGGCGTAGCAAAGGGGTGGCAAACCGGGCACGTGCCATCCTTGATCCCCCCTCTCTCTCTGCCGTCGTCGCGAAATTTTTTCTACCATGGAATACATGGCACAAA